TCTTCACTTCCACAGATCTTGGAAGTGCATTAATAGAAATATAAACATTATTCTTTATCGTCCAGATTCTCTTATAAGCTGTAATCATCTTAGTCATTTTTCCTTTGTCCACAATACACTGTACATATTAGGTGCTCGATTAATTAAAATAACTCCAATTTGTTTAGTACTATGTGCCAGGAACCACATCAGCCACTTCTATAGGAATATAAAACACCAGCCTTTGAAGTACAGAAGAAGCCCCCAAGGCTACCAGGGCAGCCAATGGCCAAGCCAGAATTCAAGCCCACATCTACTCAACTCCAAAGCTTTTGTCACTTCACGGACACTGTTTTGCCTTTGAATGGGGAAAAATAAAATAAAACAGGAAAGTGAAAAAGTGTTGGCTCACTGGCCAGTCAACCCACTCAAAGCTTCTGCTTGATCTCTCAACCCCAGAGGTTAAGACATGGCCAATATATGTCATAAAGTATGTTTTACAAATTATCCTATTCGGAATCAGTGGAGCACGCTACTATGTTATGGAAAAGCCTTTCATTTCAGTGCCTGACAGTGAGATGGGACATGTATTCATAAAATGTTTGATGAAGTCTAGATGTACTCTAAAAAAAGCCTATGCTTTCCCTTGGTGGGTAAACAAAGCAAAATGAACTTTAAAGATAGTGATGCATCTACTTTTAAGAACACACTATCCAAATGGCTACAGGGATCTGCATTTTGATAAAATCGTGACAAACACCTGAAACATAATGAAGGGTAAAAACCCCCACAATTGATTCAGGGGAGGTAAACTGGTGATAGCCGGTTGAGAAAAGTCTTCACATATGAAAAGCACTGGCTTTCAAGTTCCCACTGTTACCAGCTAGCTGTGTGGCCTGGAGACAGTATCAAGGATTTCAGCTTCTTTGTGAAATGGGGAAGCCACTGGTCCTCTCAAAGATAATAGTGAGCAGATGGTAACAGCACATGAAAAGCACCCAGCTCTTAGTACTAAGTTCACAAACCTTAATTCCACACCCCACGTGGAACTGCCTACCTACCCAGGAGGACTTACCTGACTATCAAACCAGAAGTTGAGTGGCCTTGGTTTCTCTTTTGGTTACCATGAAGACTTGGTATTAGAGATGTTTGCATAGTAGCCTTTTCAATAAAATGAGCAGTTCAAAAGCTTGTGGAAGGGAGAAGGTGTGGGGCAACAGCAAAGGGGTTAGCTAACATCCTAAATACGACTAAATTCTAAAACAAACTCTGTATTACAAGCTTCAACCCTCCCAAACAAGTCATTCTGGCTAACAGCATGTGTAATTAAAGTTAAAAGCATACTAAAATAACACTTTAGCTGTTGACCTTAAAGATCCTTGTCAAATGCTCAACAGGAACATTAGCATATGAAGGAGTGACTTGACCTTTGTCTACTAAGACAGCATCACATGGTAACATGGCACATACCTTGAACCTTCTGCAGTTCACTTCAAAACACTGCTAGAATGTTAGAGCACAGCTGAGCTAAACACAGACGTGTTCCATCCTGTTTTATACACCTGAGTTTAACTGGTTCAGCACTTAAATGTCTTCATCTCGGGTTGATACTGGGAAAGGGACAAGGGGTTTAGTTATGTTGCCTACTCCAATATTCCAGTTACCAAGTGATTTAGAAATCCCGCCATTGAGACAAGAGCAGCAAGAACACTGTTCAAAAGCTTATAACATCAGTCAGAACCTTCCTCCGCAACACACACGCACATTCACGCAGGGCTTACTTTGCACTTTTGGGAAAAAAAAGCAACAGTGAAACATTGATCACTATTAGTTTTACAATGTTTCTCATGAGAGGAAAGAAGTTACCCAGAGGGCAGAAAACCACAGCTCTTGCTACATGCACGTTCATTACAGATCCACAATAGGCACTTACTGGTAAATGCTGATTAAATGATCAGTGCTAAGTCTAGTCACAAAGCCCTCCGCCCCTGCCCCATTTGCTCTTACTGGTCTTTTTCACTGTCAGGTAACTGGAACAAGGTTTTTGACAGATCACAATGGCAATATGTTTTCAGAATTACTTTGAAAAATACATCATTGTTCATTACAACAGCAGAAAAGTTATTTGTGAATCATACATACCTAACTAAGCATGAGTGTCATTTAAATTTGGTTTCTAATAGAAGGAGATTCTGGTTATAGTATATATACTATTCTGGTTATGTCTAAAATCAGTGTAGCAGTTTCCACCTTTCCCTTTTTCCATGTCTTCTTTGCAGAACTGCGCTTGTGGGCTGATACTTTGTTCTGTAGTAATATCACACCAACTAACTTCACAGGTTGCAGGAGGATGTGGCCAACATGAAAGCAGCGGGGAGTCAATAGAAAGTGGTCCCTTTAATGGTAATTCAGTGCTCCAGTGTGCAAATCAGGAAGACATCAGCAACCTCTCATGTCAGAAATCTGAGAAGGGTGCCTTCATGGAGAACTCATTGAGAAATCCCTCAAGTGCAACTCACTCTGTAGTATTTTACACTCAACCTGGTGGAGAGGACAGATACCATGACAGCCCCGACCTGAGTTCATTTACTCTGTACAAGAATTACTGAATTAAGGGACATTTCAAGGGGAGAGGGAGACAGGCCCCAAAACCAGACCTAAAACAAGTGTAAACAACTTAATTCAAACTACCAGAAAGAGGTTTTTAAAGCCCAGTCTCAAATATCTTTCACTCAAAATGTACATATAGCATTGGAGCTGAACTTACAACAATGTATAAGGAGTGTATTGGGACTTTTGCTTATTTTTCAATGTGGATGGGAAAGCCTGTTTGGTATAGCTTGAGGTTTTATTGAACCTGTACTTACGAAACCCACAAACAAGAAAAAGCACAGCCCTGTCATGCAATGCAACAAGGACAACGCTGCATGATCCTTCCCCAGCCTCCCTGAGAAGAGCTCACAGCTAGTGAGTCTTGTGTTAAGGTCCAGAAAGCCAACAAGAACCAGAAATTATATATTCTAATACATCATACCATCCCCTTTTGCATAAATAGTCAACCTTAGGTAGTCCTTACTAACACGAAGGCATATTCCACTAGATATCATTTAAAAAATAAACTATGAACATGCACCCTGGTATCAAAATTCTAGAAATGCTCACTTTAAGGACATTACAGACTATGGCATTGAAAACATAACATTTCCAGGTGGTCATAAATTCTGGAAACTGGCAAATAGTTTCCATTTTTTTTACTACATTAAGTGACCAGAGAATGCCAGCACTTCATGAACTGGGGGTAAACAAGTGATTGCAACAAGGTGGCACATTATACCAGACTTATGAGAAAAATGGGACGATTTCCAAAGTAAGTGCCCGTGCTCTTCATGCTTGTGGGCTCTGAACCTCCTCGATTGCTGCCAAAGCCACAGGGATGGTGGAAGACAGTGACTCAACATCACAAATGAATGCGCAGAAACAGATGGAAATGCTGCATTCATGCGCTACCCTCATTGCAACTTTGCGCCGACATTGAACTACTAAGGAGATGACAAGCAGAACAGATCGTGGTTTAAAATGTGATATTCGTGTCTATTTGTCTATTTTCCAGACTTTATCATCTTATACTTCGGCACGATAACGCTACTATATGTTCTAGGAACTTGTCACATATATAAAGGACTTTCACCAGCCTGAGGTTGACACCACACACCCTGGATGCGCACAGAGTGCCTCCTTGCACTCAAGGAGCTAGGCTGCCTGTGTGGTTTACCAAAGTGCAAACTAACGCTGCAAAGAGCTGGGTTTTGGTTAACTGTCTGTCGGATGCATTTCCCTTAAAGTACATAGGCTGCCGCTGACTCCTCCCTCTGGCTTCCTCCTCACCGCCTGACACCAACGTTGGGTCACATTGGAAATCTAACTTCCCATCTCTGACACTCCATTCCAAGACTGGTGGGGAGGAAGGGGAGGGTAAACTTACACACGTCGACTACTCCCCCCTTTTTTTATTAGGCAAGCCTGTGGCCCTCCCAACCAGCCAGAACCACAAAACAACAGCTCTGCAGCAGGTATCACCTTAATCCAAACCTGATACCTTTTCCACCAAGGCCAGCCTGGGCAAAAGATTAACCTGTGGTCTTTGGCTATGGCTCACTAACAGGGCCAACCCTGAAGAGAGAGAGCGCCAACTTTCTGTTTGTTTTAGAGGAAATACTTCCTGGCACATGTTTAGTAAAGACTCTGAACTCTGCACATGAAGCCACGTGGTTGGTGCTAATCTGGCTCCATCCACTCCCGACCCGCCTTTAAAGCAACCTCTTTCGGAGGGGCAGCCCCTGGCTGGGTAATCGACACCATCTCGTTCCAGTCACGCGGGCTCCTCTCCCCGCCACAGTCCTCTCACGGGCGCGGCACAGTCCTGGCAGGGTCAGAGGGGAACCGGGAGGGGAGAGGCTGGGGCCTGAGGGGTCCCCTTCGGCAGCAGCAGGAAAGGATTCCTATCTGTTGGGCCCAAACTGGCTTTTTCGGCTTTGGTGAAGTCCGAGGGAGCGGGGTAGGAGATGCCTGCCCTTCCAGGAAAGCCGACTTGACCAGGAGCCGAGTGCGCAGGCACACAACTCGCTGCGCCCACCTGTAGCCACAGCAAACAAACTTTCCTCACCTTCTGAGTTGGAAGAATCCGGTCCCTTACGCCACCCCCTGGCCCACGCCGGCAGCGGCCTGGAGCTCCGCGGGCTCCTCACCTGATACCCCTGAACCCCCAACCTGGTCTGTCCCAACACGCAGACCCAGCGCGGTTGGTGGGGGTAGAGAGCTGGAGTTGCCAGCTAAGGATTAGAAATTTGTGGGGACGCCGCTCGCTACGCTTTGCAACTCCAACTCGCAACTTTGCAACCACACAGCCGCTGCCCTCCCGCCCCCTCCGCGGCGCGCACCCGGCTCCCTCGGCTTTTCCAACGCGTTTCGGGGTGGGGGGGGGTGCCGAGAGTGGCGGGAACCTGAGCACCCAGCTCACTTACAGCCATAGCGGGGTCTCTGCCGGGACAGCTCTTCGTGGGGCATCCTGCGCGAGTCCGGGGGCCCGCCCGGGGTGCGCCCCCCGCGGCTTCCCTCGCTGGCCAGGCTCGCCGGCTCCGCGCCCCACCGGCGCTCTCGTATCCGGCTTCTCGCTGCCCTCCGCTGGCCGCCCCGAGATGGGCGACCGGCTCCCTGGGTGCTCCCTCGCCAGCGCCCGCTGCAGCCGCCGCGCGCTGACACTGGAGCAAAAGTGAACTCCCCTCCCTCGCTCCCTCCCCGCCGCCGCTGCCACCTCCCTCGGCAGGTTTCCTTTCTCCTCCAGTCCGTCCCCGTTATCCACCGCGCTAGGAGCGCGCCGCGGCGCAGCGACCCCTACCGCGTGCGCGGGGCATCGCCGGGACCGTGTGGACCCCGCCCCTGCCCGGCCTGGCCCCGGGTTGGAAGGAAGGGGCTAAGCGGGTCGCCCGGCCGGAATACCCTGCAGCTGGGTCCCGCGCACAGCTGGCAGCCTCGGGGCTGAGGCCGCCCCGCCTGATGTTTCACTTCTGGAGCGCTTAGAGGGTGGAAGTGAATCTACGCGGGCGAAAGCAAGAAAAACCGCAGAAGACACAGGCAGCCCCGGTCGCCCAGGGTGTGTTGCTCCGTTACAAAAGGACAAACAGCGCGGTTCCTTTTCCTCTGGGGAGATGGAGCGTGTGGTTTTTTTTCCCTTCGAAAGTTGCTTCTGTGTCCCCCCTTGACTACAAAATACAAGATTCCCCTTTCGTCACAAGAAACTGAGAGCGTGTGCATGGGTGTTTGCTGGAGGAGCGAGATAAACACTACCCAAGCAACCATTCAAAACACAAGTGCGAGTCATCCTCTGCTCACCCTCTCACCCTCCCCCCGACCCCCACCCCCACCCGCGGTACAAAGCTATCGCCCAGCCCTGCTGGGGTGGCACACACAAAACCCTTTTCCGGCTAAGCTTTTAAGGAAATTAAACCACATGGTGTCTGTTCTAAAAGGTAGGGGTTTCATGCGGTCACCTGGAGCTGTTTTTCTGTTTATGCCTCTGAGTGATAAGATCCGGGGGAATGTGGGTCTCTTCTATACCAGCATCCTCACCTGCTTGTCACATGTGGGATGTGTGGGTGACCAGATGGTTGGCAAAATAACAGAATTATAAGAGATTTAGTTGAAGAAAAGGTGGCATAGTGACACTAACCATTTTGAAGAAAGCAAAGATACAGAGAGTAGCCAGCTGTTCTCCATTTCATATAGGAGGTGTAGTCCTCAAACTTGTTGAAACTCAGAGTCTTGGGCCCCACCCTCAGGGTTTCCAGTTCAGTTGGTCTGGGGACCATGAATTTGCATTTCTAACAAGCTGTCAGGTGATGCTGACACTGCAGATCTGCAGACCATGCTTAGAGTGGTTCTGTTAGAGAATAGGCACAAGAGACTTCAGTTGGACTCAGGAAAATCTCATTCAGATGGAGAACAAGAGGATTCTCTTCCCCATTCCCCCCCCCCCACCACCTTTTTTCTTCTTTTTCTGGAGGCTTTAGATTCTCACCTGGTTGGAATGGGATGAGAGAGGTTTGCTTTTTGTTTTTGTTTGTTTTTTCCTTAAAAACCAGTTGTCTCTAATTATAAGAGCAATTCAAAGGTGAAACAGCCACATTTTGAGGCACAGCACCCTGTCAGTCAGTGTTCACCCAGAGGGAGACACGTTCAAGGAGAATTTCCCATGTTTCAGGAGATGCTGAATTGGATGATATCTAAAGTCCATTCCATCTCTCTGATTCCATGTATTAAGTACTATCAATTAAGCCCTACTCGCACAAATCAATTTTCAGTGTGTGTGATTTAAAGCCCAAAGAAGTGTATAGTCTATTTTTTTAGAGGTGGGAGGGGGGAATCACTGGAAACTAGAGTAGTCAAGGAAGGTGACAGAATTTGAACATGTGGTTCGAAGTGGACCTTGAAAAATGGATGAGAATTGGATGGAGAATGTCCACTCCTGGAAGACAGGCAAGGACAAGGACAATAGGGTGAGGCACGAAGGTAGAAAAGAGTAGAAGCTTCAACACTAGTATCAGATCATGGAGGACACAGGCTAAGAGGACTGGACATTACCATAGGAGCAGTTGAAAGCTCTTAAAGGTTTTGGGCATGGATGCTGCATGATGCAAGAGAATTTAGGGAAGGTAAATCTTGCAGCAGGTTATAGGTGCACCAGGTGTCGACACCTGGTGAAGGGGCTGTGACAGAGGTAGAAGAAAGAAGTAGAGTTTCAATGGCATTGATATCAGTAAGAGTGATAAAAGGGAGTTTTAACACAAACAAATTGATGCCATCAACACTTATCACAGATTGTAATAAGTATCAATAAATACCTGTTAATGGCAGAAAATGAAGGTTAAAGCATACAACAATAAAGTTCACGAACTTGTTGCAATGATGTTGTTAACCTTTTTTTATATCAGAGGGGTTATTTATTATGAATTTATACCAACTGGACAAACAGTTAACTAAGTTTACTATTTGGAAGTGCTGAAAAGGCCGCGTGTAAAAGTTAAGACGATCTGAACTTTTTGTTGATAATTCATGGCTCTTGCATCACGACAGTGCACCAGCTCACACTGCACTTGCACTGTCTGTGAGGGAGTTTGTAGCCAGTAAATAAATAACTGTATTGGAACACCCTCCCTACTCACCTTATCTGGCCCCCAATGACTTCTNTGCGGAGACTCTTGGAAAGTCACTTACATGCTTTCAATGCAAGGTCATTCACCCTAACCAGCCAATTAGTTCAACCTCCAGAAATAGTCTCATGAAACAAAATGAAATTATGGATTTGTCTTTCCTAAGAGCTACCCATTGCGGACCACGTGGTAAGAATGCATCCAGCTAGAGAAAAACCCTGTGGTAACAGTGGGTCATAGAGCAGGGGATCCAGCTCCAGGTGTGACAACATGGGGGCAAAAGTTACATCAAAATGTTCTACTTGCTCACTGTCTAGGGACCAGGACAAAAGGAGGGGTCAGAAAAAAAACAAAACCAAGTTGCATAAATAAAGGTAGAAGAATGATGGGTTATGCCTAAGAATAGAAAAAGAAAGACCGTAGGGGTCATGGGAGGCATTGGGCTGAGCGTAGCATCAACAAAACACTGTCTGGGCTCTGTGGTGCCGGTTTCCACTCACTGGCTTGTAAGAAGAGCTTGAAAGGAATTCCCTCTGCCATGTCCTTCTTCCCTTGGCAGCTTCTAAGTGATTAGTGCAAGGCTGTAGGTATTAGGGGAGAATACAGGAGGATGTGATCAATGATTACCTGCTTGGAGGAAAAGAAGAAGCCAGGAGGGGCTTTAGAGAATCATTTCTCTTCTTAGTTGAATAGTCAGAGAGGGGAAGATGAGTTGGGAATCTTGGTGAAACTGTGCCCTGAAAAGAGTACCTGTGAAAGGAGCTTCAACACAACAAATGAAGCCTGGATGAGATGCGGGGAGGACTTGCTACGCCCTCTACCCAGAGCTGGCGTAGCTTGGGGTTCACCTTGCAGACAGCCCTTTAGCCTGCCTCTTGTTTGATTCTATTTCTCATGCATCATGTACTAAAGCAGTTGCTGGACTTCTCTCTGTTCAGTTCTTCTGCAGGTTAAACAATTTCTCTGACACCTCCTTTAAGGGGATATCATGCTAAAATGTTGAGGGGTCGAAAGAAAGGAATATAAACCATGCACTGTGCCCTATAGCAGCTTACAGTTCCATTTTGTTCTTGCTCTNGGGATCCGAACCGGGGCCCTCTGGCATCCCAAGCGAGTTCTTAACCATCGCGCCACTCGGCCGGCCCTCATTCAATTTTCTTGATTAAGGCAAATCTATAGTATTTCAAAACAAAGCCTCAATGAAAGGAACATGATGGTGGCAATTTAGATATGCAGACATACGTATCATTCTAGGAAGGTGCTTATTATTGATGAAAGGGTTGTGGCTTCTCTCCCAAAACTCAGCTGCTCCCTAAGGGGCTGCTGGGACCCCGAGGACTTGCTTCTCCATTTGGGGATTTGTTAGTGACTCCTGGTCCTTCCAGCTCTTTGCTTCATGAATGGGTGACTGGTTGATGATAGGACTGGTCTATTCTCCAAGCAGAAATGGCCACACTTTCACAAAGTACTGCTTAAACATTTTGGTGGGGACCCCCTTCATTTTAAAGCCTTTTCTTTTCTTTTTTTTTTTTTTTGGCAGCTAACCAGCTGCTAAAGTTCAGTTACTCAGCTTGTTAAGAGTTAACTTCACATCTGGATCTGGTCAGCCAGAGCCCCAGTGTAAAAGCCAATAGAGAACCAAGGAACACCACAGCAAGGAGGGCAGATATCACCAATGCCTGCCTTTTGTCACTCTATAAACACAGCCGTCACCACAAACCCAACAGATAAAGTCAGAATCATCCAATCCCACCTCAAGCCCCATCTACCAATGAGTCTTTTTTCTGATTGCCATTGCGTTAATACGAACATTTTCAGTCCATTAGACTGAAAAACCTCAATCTTTTTGGATTCCTCTAGGATCATTATTTAGCATTCAATCAGTCACCAAGACTCTGTAGTTCTTTGTGAATAACTCTCTGATTGTTAACGTCCCTTTTTTCTTCTTTGCTCTTATAAATCTAAAAATAAAGTGAGAAGCAACAAGTGTTTGAGGTCCTAAAGAATAGCTTTTGGGAAGCACTGATTCAGGTAGAGGCTTGTGTTCTGATTAGGAGGTGAAGGTAAGGGGTATATATGAGAAAGGGAAGGGGAACAATTGCACGAGTAAAAGGTGTTTCTGTGGGTGTTAAGCTAATATAGTGATGCTCATTCTAAAGAATGTCTTTAATTTTCAGTCTGTCATAATGTCTGCTTACCTGATAGCTTTGCACACAGTTGTTTGCAAACAGTTGTTTGCTGCTTTAGGTCCAGTCCAAAGTTTATTTTGCCCAATTTTAACATTCCAAAGGTTTGAGGAGCAAGATGTGAAAGGCAGTTTCTCTGGGATGGCAGCTTCGACTCCATTGGAGGTGGCTCCATTATATTATTTTTTACACTTTCATCATCACCACTACCATTTTGGTTCATGCTCTTACCTGGGCTATTCCAATGGCTATTCCTGTATTAGTTTTTTCCTTTTTGATATTTAACTTGATTATTTCCTCCACTCAATTAATTTGTGTATCAAATACCTTTAGTGGTACCCATCTTTGAGTAACTTACTTGCTATATAAGTTGTCCTCTTTATTTAAAAAAAAAAAGTTAGCATTTGGAGTATCTAGATTTCTCCCTACAAATAGTAAACAAAGGAAGTAACCCCAGGAGGTCCAAGACAGCAGTGTGGGAAGTTATCATTGTTAAAAACCTGCTGATCTTCTATGTATAGAATTTCAAGCTAGGGTTTTCCTCCTGGAGACTTTGAGAGTCTAAAAATTGAGAGCTTTCATGGAGTTGGAATTTGACCTTTGTCCAGCATACAGTAGGTGTGCAATAAAGATTTGACAATTGTAGTAGATATCTATTTGGGTCTGGGCAAATGATGACATCAACAAATAGGGTCTACCTACTACATATAAAGATTATCATTTGCTGTCTACCGTTTCTAAGCCAGGTCAGTAAAATCAAATGGTTTGTGAAATCTTCTGTCTCAGTTAGCTCTGGCTGCTACAACAAATACCATAGGCCGAGTAGCTTAATCAACAGACATTTTTTTCTCACAGTGCTGAAGGTTGAGAAGTCCAAGATCACAGTTCCAGCCAATTGGGTTCCTGATGAGAGTCCACTTCCTGTTTTGCAGATGGCCATCTTCTCATTAGTTTCTCACATGGCCCT